TTTTAAGACTAGTGCTGTTAATATAAACCTCCGCTTTCTCTTTGATGATCTTGATTACTACGCTATACTATAAGTGTATGGATTTAAGCCTCTAGGACTATACGGGAGCTGTTTAACCGGAGTCTATAGAGAAGTGTAAAGTATAACGTCTTGCGAGGATGCCGATAAATATGTGTACTGGGATGAATATCAGTAGGTTTTTCTTTTTCCTGTTGTTTTTAGGGGTACGTTGATTGAATTTGCGTTTTTCTGATATCTGACTTTATGCAGTCCTACCATGCATATACACTCATGGATTGCAAGTGTTTTAGATGTACTGAGTGGTTCATTCTGAGTGAAGAATACTATCTAAGTACCCGTCAACGGCATCTTGGGCAGATTTGTTATTTCCTAGCGATACTAAACCTACAAATCAAGGTTCATGTTAAGAAAACGCAGCAAAATGGTGGGGGAGCCGTAAGGACTCCGACAATACTGACATAACAACTGATAGCTATCTGAGAGTGAATACTTAGATTGGTTGCTAAAGAACTGCTCATACCGTGCAGCTACTGATCTGGTAATAAGTGTGTCATTATATGTCTATCTCTTCAAGCTGACTCACTAGGTTCGCTAAGATGCCTCTAGTGGCCTAAGTGATCCTATTATATAAAGGGCAGGCCGGATGTGAAAACTTGCAATACTGAGGCTACAAAAATCTCCTGCTCATCCCTTCCGTGATTTATAGATGATTTATTCCCAGGTAAGGATTATAATCTCGCTGCATACGAATAATCATGTTCTAGAAATTCTGTACGTCGTGTTTTAACCTTGTCCTCGAAATGTCAACTTAGCACGACGCCATAGGCGAAGTGCTCGCTGCTTGTGTCCTTGTCATTACATATGCTGCTACCAGCATTCCACTTGATTGCAAGCAAGGCTACTTCTGACCATAACATGAGCCTTTGCACTACACCAGATACTTTCCAATCCGGATCATTTATTTATCTCAGACTGGGTGAGTTCATCAAATGTTGCTTCAGCTCGCAGAAGCTCACGTCCTCATAGAGTGGAACGGGTCAAGCACGAGATGGATTTGCCAGTAATCTTCTAATCATGTTGGCAGATTAGAACACGGAAACTGTTGATGCGAACTTCACAGGCTATACACGTACAGCGAGATATAATCGCAAGGACCAGAAGAACAAGTCCGATATGATGGCGAGGTGGCGGCCCCCCCGCCCCCGCGATTGTGGGGGCGGGGTGCCGCTCCGCAGACCCCACCGGGCTAATCGAGTTCTCCGCATTCCCGACTCTGGGGCCGAAGACCGCGGTCGACGACTGTAGCGCCGAACTTGGCGGTAAGTACCGCTCCTGACGGGAAGACATTGACATCGAACAGGCTACTTGCAAACACCTTTATTGGACCAAGTTTCATCCAGAAGCATTCTAGACATACCATAATGCAGGAACCTGGTCGAACGTATGAACACGACATTGAGCTCTATTAGCGAGCTAAGCTCGGGGCACAAGCTTGACCTCTTCATATCAGTTGCATTGGCGCCTTCTGGCGCGTCCATCTCGCCTGACTGTCACTAAGATGATCATCCATGACGACCAACCGGAGACCTTCACATTCCGAAGTCGCGGAACCATAGGCTGTTGTAACATAGTACTGTGATGTAGTACTGTGATGCCGAGCATCAGTAGTGGATAGGCCGATAGATGCGAAATTTGTCCGTAGGCTCATGTTTCCATAAGGAGCAACCGGAACGGAGGCGCGTGCAACCAGTATACTACCATGTGGCGATTCGTCTGTAGAAATTCATGTAACCTTTGACCCCACAACGGCTTCCGATCGGACCGATACATTTCCTATGTCCTTGTAACATGTCGGAGCAACGGCCTCCTGTAAAGAGCGAAGAGCGAAGAGCGAAGAGCGAGAGCCCTACGAATCTTCTTAAAAGCTGGCAAATGCCGTTGAGGGTAGTCTTAAGCAACCATCATTTCAACCTTCGTCGTGAACCTCGTTGGATACCACCCTATTCTCCATCATGGCCGAGCCCCAAACTATAAAGATTGCGCCGATGGTGCCCATCGACCACTCTGCCACGAGTTGGACACGTTTTATCAATGCATTCGAGGTCGCGGAATTCACCGGCTGGATCGACGAGAGTGTGTCATGGAAGAAGACTTGTTACATCGGCGACTGGTCCCAGGCCCTCAAACTCAGGATTCGAGGCCCCGAGGCCAAAGCATTCCTGGAGTTTATTTCGACAAACCACTGGCCTAATTTGAAACGACACCAGGCAAAGCATTCTATTATGTGTCGGGACGATGGAAACATTATGGGTGAAGGGCTGATAATGATGTTGGACCAAAACGACTATATCTTCACCTCTGGTCCTGGGATCCCATGGGCCCTTTTTCAGGCCAAACATGGCCGCCGCAAATTTGACATTGAGACAGAAATAGTTTCAGATGATTGGTACCTGCTTCAGATCCAAGGACCTAAGAGTCACGAAGTCTTGGAGGCCGCAACGGGAGAATCAATTCGGGATCTAAAGTTCCTGGACGCCAAAGAGATGTCAATCGGCGAGCTCAAGTTTTTGGCCCTCCGACAGGGAGTCTCGGGAGAACGAGGTTATGAGCTCTGGGGTCCGTCCAAAGATGGACAATCGGTGTACAAGGCAATCTTGGCAGCTGGTGAGAAATTTGGCATACGCCAGCTTGGAATGCGCACAAAACTAGTGAACCATGTACTTCTCACCACTATTTAGTTTTGACCTTTGGGAAGTGCTAACAAGTAAACAGGCTGAGGCTGCGGTCCCTACACCAGTCATCGACTTCCTTCCTGCCGTCTTTGGGGAAGATCCTGAGGTCAGAAGGTATGCGAAGTTCTTGGAGGACACCAAGATGATTATCTTGGACTACTCCGCCCTGAAGATTTCAGGCAGCTATTCCTCGAAGCACGAGGACTATCAACGCGACCCCTATGATTTAGGATGGGATCGGATAGTAAACTTCGATCACGACTTCATCGGCAAAGAGGCACTACAGTCTGTGGCAGCTAATCCACCCAACAAGTTTGTTGCTCTCGAATGGAATAGCGAAGATGTCACAGACGTGTTCGCGTCTCTTTTCCGCGACAAGCCTTACGAATACATGGAAATGCCCCGCTATCAGTTCCTCACGGCAAGCAGCGTCTATATTGATGGGACTTTAGTTGGCAGCGCCACGTCACGGTGCTACAGCTATTCGTTCAAGAGGACCATCTCACATGGCATCATTGATCGGCGATACTCCAAGCCCGGAACACAAGTCGAAATCAAGTGGGGCAGTGAAGGTTATCCGCAGAAAATCATTCGTGCGGTGAGTACAGCTCATGCTTTTCTGCCCACGTTCATCACTTTGCTCTGCTGACCTGTAGATAGGTTGTTAAACAGGCACCTTATAAAGAAGACCAGCGCAGGAAGAAGATTCCACAAATATAGGCGAGAAGTATGCTTAGGCCTCTGTTACTCTGTCCTAGTACCAGTAATAAATCTCTTATGCCTGTATTATAGACTGTACATTTTGTTTAGCCGCATTAAACGACCCCTTTATATATGCCGAGATCTATTCTACATTTACCTCAGTTAACATTGCTACCTTGGTTGTGCCTAATTATACGCCGCTTTTTAGAATAATCTTAATGCCCCTTCTAATGTTATGAACCAACACGTTCGGCGGCAAGGGGACCCGTTTGGGTGACCCAGGCAACCCGGACAGGATGCCACGACGCAGGCCATTTGGCACTAGAGTGCGTAGTCACAAAAGCCCGCTCCAAGAAGCAGCTCGCTGGTGGAGTCCACGATGAGGTAGCCAAGGACAGCACGTGTGAGCCAGGACATGTCGGTTCTGAAAGGATTGCACACCTAATCGCGGGAGTGTTTATGAGATGCAAGAGAGGTGGAGGGCTGGACCTTCGGGTGACTGGAGCTGCTCTGGGGAGCTGGCGCTTTTGGATGCAAATTCGATAAAGATGACTGGCTGGGGTAACACACTCACATTGTGATATCATACAGGCGCCAACCAATGTCATTGTGAGAAGTAAGAACCGATTTGCATGTTTAGAACACAGAAAACCAGACTCATTTACTCAAGTCTGCCTGATCACACTGGTTCAGGGACGACGAGTGAATTGACTGTCGCGTGAGGTTTGACAGACTTGCAGGCATCCGAGACGTGCAGTTTTGCGGAAACATAAGCTGTCGTGACTCTAAACTAGCAGGTAAATCATGTTCACTGGATAATCCGAAGCAGCACGACGTTATCTGCTTTTTCTGGTCTGCGAATCTCCGATGGCACTGGCAATGGCTTTTGAAGATGAAACGCAAACAACATTGAACACCTGCCACTTGGTGATCCATCGTGCCTGCATGATCTCTATCAACTGCGTCTCCCAGGATAGGTCCTAATTTGCATGAAACATTTTACTGTCGTCAAGATGCGCTGGCTGGATCCCATCTCGTTATGTAGGTCAGGTTTCGCCAGCTGGTACCATGCAGCGATCACCGCCGCCGTGGGGACCCATGGGATCCGAACCTGAAGAGAGACTCGCTTGAGGCATATGCAACTAGCTTAACGAGGAGTCCAACCAGAGCGGATCAAGGAGACTTTTGCCTCAGACCCGCTGTCATGAACGAACTACTACGCTATTACCAGTCAGCCTACCATGCAGGCTCCATGCATGCCGAGTAACAGTTAGGCAGGGCAAATTTGGCACACGTTCGTGACGATATCTGGTTTGCAAAAGTCGGCAGAGAACTAGAAAAAAAAATACAATACAGACAGCCTGCAATACGGCAATGAAACTGCTGACGCCTGCACGAAGCTTACTCGTGTTAATGAATGTTTTAATTGTGATGCTGTACAATGAAAACAGGATCTGTAGAAGGCCTCAAATCGAAAGTACAGCTATCTGGTCAGAAAATGATAGTGGGTTTATATATGATGACACAGAAGTACTGACGTAAGCTGCGGGGATAACTCAGTTGGGAGAGTGCCAGACTGAAGGCAACTTCAGACAATGACATCTGGAAGTCCGCGGTTCAATCCCGTGTCACCGCATTGCTTAAATATTGAGGCCTTGGCCACAATACATTTTTTTATCAATTATTTACTTGCTAGTCTGTCTAACATTTATGCTCATTTTATGGTGATCATTTTTTTTACTTGATAAGCTTTTCTTTTCACAAGAAATTGTATCGTCTGAGTGTAATTGTTCCGGTGTCGCTAGAATCATTCCTTTCCCTGTAAAGCAAGCCACAGACTCCGTAATTCTGGGAACAACATATACACAAAATATCGATTACAGCTCGTGAATCCGTTCACTGAGCTCCGTTCCGTGAGAATGCCGAAATGATCCTGGATCTCACAATTGAGAATATCGAACATGAAATTCCCAATAATGCCTTTCAGGCGGGATGAAACGGATACTGGGCTAGCTGAAGATTGGGTAGAACTCAGGCATAGATTGCCCTTCGACGATGGACCTGTGTGCATTGAATAGATTGGTTTCATTATACGAATACATGTGAAATGAACACGCCCTTGGTGGAGCACTTATAGTTAGGCGGCAATTATGCTTGAGAGGGCTTTCTAAATCATCCAGGTGAAAGTAGGGGCTTCCCTGATGACATTCGCTTCATATCTCCCTGGCTTTTAGGTTGACTTTCAATGGCTTTTGCTCCCAAAGCACGAAGACCTTCTGGTCAATCCACTTCTTGCTCTCTTCCAAGAGTTCCAAGTCGTACTTCCAGAAAATCGTAGCTGCAATCCAGCGCATTTGAAGCAAAGCCATACTGGTTTGCGAAAGAGTTAGTACATGATGCAGAACGTGAATGCCACAAAGGGAGGCAGGTGCGAGACTTACGGCTTTCCAATACAGCTCTTGGGACCAAGAAGGAACGGTTGAAACGCCGCCTGCTTGTCGTTGGCAAAATCAGGGTCCTCATCCAACCAGCGCTCCGGTCGGAAGGCGTGAGGCTCATGGAAGTTCTCGGCAGACTGGGAGGCGGCACAGGTGGGCACAACAACACAACTCCCCTCGGGGACGAATCCACCGCAGATGGTGGCACCACCCTTGGGGATCAGACGCGGCAGCGGCGTGGGCAGCGGGCTGTGCAATCTCTGTGCTTCCTTAATGCAGGCGTCGACCCATTTAAGCTGTGGGAGACGCGACGTGTCCGCAAGCTCGGCCTCGGTGGCGTACGCGGACCGCACCTCGTTTACCAATCGCGCGTATGCCTCGGGATGTTGAAGGAGGAAGAATACCAGGGCTGCCAAGCTCGTGGTGCTCGTCTCGCTGGCGGCAAGCCACAGGTGGCTCGCGTTGAGGAAGAGCTCCTGGTCGTTCAGCGTCTCCTTGCCCTGCCTGCTGTACTTGATCATGTCCTCACGGGCCTCGACACCCTTTTCGAGGCGGCGTGCGACGCGCTCGTTGGTCACGCCCTGGTGCTTCTGCAGGACTGGCTGGATCAGGTACTGCACGACATTGTCCCAGAGGAAGCGAAACCAGCGCAGCTGCTGCAGGCCGGCGACCACCTGGCCGATCTCGGTGAGGTTGAGCACGCCGGCCACGAAACTGTGGGCCTTGCCGTCCCGGGTCATGTTGAAGGGCTCGCCGAACAGGAAGTCGCTCGCCGTGTCAACCGTGACGAACAGCAGCAGGTCCTGCATGTTTGGAGTCGTCTTGGCTGTGGCGTGCTCGTCCAGACGGTCCATGAGCATGTCGATGTACGTCTTAATCATGGGTGTGAGGCGCTGCATGGCGCCGTCCGTAAAAGCGCGGAGGAGGATGCGGCGGTGTCGCTCGTGCTGGTTGCCGTTGGAGGTGAAGATGGACTGCTCGTTGCTCGTCACGGCCTGGTAGAGTCCTGGGTGCTTATCGAACGCATGGCGAAGGCCTGCGGGAGCGTGCACGTCGCGTTGTGCTTGCGCGTCGGCGTAGCTGATGTGGTCCGGCCCGAAGCGTACCACGGGACCATATCGACTGTGTAAGTCAACCAGGTAGGTGTTCCATCCGCCGCGGATCATGGCCCAGACAAAGGGGAGTGGAGTCGCTGCCGCGAACCATGGCCCGGGAAGATGCCGCAGCGGGCTGAGAAAGAGGTTGTAGAGAGATGTGGTGACAAAGTACACTGCAATTATTGCGCCAAATGCAGTGAAAACTGCCTTTGGGTCCGATAGGATACGCCCACTCACGGACGACACCATCGGGGTGCCCTCAAGGTACTTTTCCATCTTGACGAACCCTTAGTGTTGGAGTGATTGTCGATATGATCGTCGACTGGTCCTTCGTAGGATTTCAGTGACTTTAAGGGACCAACGCCTACATCAGCTCCTAGAACATGGTGGGGCTTTGGATATGAGTTCCAAGAAGTGGCCGAATGGATATGGCAACAACCGGGGACTCCGATCATTTGGCCATCTGCTCGGTACTCTGTGGACGGCGTTGATACGCGCTCAGCGCTCCGGAATACCGTCGAGCACTCTCAGCCGGGGGTCGCTTCGTTATTCAGTCACCCGGAACTGTATTTGGGTGGAGACAATGTGGCAGGCATGATTGGACGAATTCGGTTCTTCGGACCATGCACCAATCACAAGTCATCTTGGCTGGCTGGGTTTTGGTGGTATTGGAGGCAACGCTGGAACGGGTACCTGGGTCGCTTGGCAGAGTGGATCTAGGGCGGACTTACATGACTGAGTATCGGCGTCCAACACAAACGACTTCTCCGAACGCGTATCGTATAAGATAGAGTTTATCACAAGACACTTCCACAGTTGGCGTTAGGTTTCTAATTACGAAGAGAGAAAAATATAAAGAGGTGAAAGAAGAAAAAGAATCTGAAACTCCAAGAGTGACAGCTTACACCATGGAGCACATCTACTCCGAGACCTTGGAGCCTGGCCAATATCAGACGTTCGGATTCTGTCAGGATCCTCGATACATCCCTCGCCGACACAAGGACCAGCACCTCGCCCGTGCTGGCTCGCGGCAAGCGAAAACAGATTGTGAGGCCTTGATCGGCCACTATCACCGCCCAACATGCGAGTCCAGCGTGGGCCACTCAGTCGCCATGGTGATGCCAGAGTGCATACCGGCCCGCATCGAGACCATGGGCTACTTCATGGAAGCAATCTTCTACATGGACAATATCGCAGAGTCCGGGTCTCAAGACGACACAGGCAGCCTCGCGAATGAGTGGGCAGAAACCATGCCAGGATCCGGGGGAAAGACAACAACCACGGCAGATTCTCCAAACAAGGCCGACGGAAAGTCGAACACGGGCGCGAAACAAGTGGTCGCCAAATTAGCCCTGCAGCTCCTCCTGATCGACCCAGACTGCGCCAAAAATGTCATGGAGGCGTGGAAGGAGTGGGCAAAGGGGTTCAATAAGCCGCGACGCTTTGACAGTGTCGAACAATACATGCAATACCGTGTCGTCGACTCGGGAGCTATCGTGGCCGTGCACCTGATGAACTGGGCCATGGGCCTGGATATTTCGGTCGAGGAGCTGCGGCAGATCGAAGACATCGTTGACCATGCTGCGCGCGCCCTCTCTTACCAAAACGACTTTTTCTCGTTCAACTACGAGCACGACATGTTCGTTGAGCTGGGGGACAGCTCGATAGGCATTGCGAATGCGGTCTTCGTCCTGGCTGACAATGAGGGTTTGGACCTTGAAGCAGCCAAGAAGAAGGTTGCACAACTAGGTCAGGAGCACGAGAACGCCGTCTTGCGGCTCAAGGACGAGCGCTGGGAGAAGGTGGACCATAAACTCCGTGTCTGCCTCGATGGAATAGTGGACATGGTCGTTGGGAACCTGGTTTGGAGCGCCTCGTCAGACCGCTATTCATCACATCGCAATGAGAAGACGCACATGGAACTTCCAGTACGACAAGCCAATCACGAGAGGAAAGAGTCCACAGTTCAGATTCCCGTGTTGAGCCCACCGACTCCTCCGAACGACTCGGACCACGAGGACGATTCCAGCGACTCGGCAAGGACAAATGGGAAGCAAGTTGAGAGCTTGGAAGAAGGCATGAAGAAGTTGATGGAGCAGGAGTTGCAGAGCCCAGAGTTTTGTGTTGATGCGGCACCTATATTGGGTGACGAACTCGTCTTTGCACCGATCAAATACCTGGAATCCCTCCCATCAAAAGGTTTCCGGGAAGCCATCGTCGACGGCATGGATGGCTGGCTCCATCTCCCAAAGAGGTCTATTTCCACCATCAAGGACGTCGTCAAACACGTGCACACGGCCTCGCTCCTATGTGACGATATGGAAGACTCGTCTCCATTACGGCGAGGACAGCCATCAGCGCACACCATCTTCGGGGCACCACAGACCGTCAATTCCACCAGCTACCTCTGGACTTTGGCCCTAGACCGCCTGTCGGAATTGGAGAATCCACAATGCTTGCGGGTTTTCATCGACGAGGTTCGCTCGATGCAGATTGGTCAAAGCTGGGATCTGTACTGGACTGCAGCACTGGAATGTCCTCGCGAAGAAGAATATTTGGCCATGATCGATATGAGTATGTCTCCCCCCCCCGAATTTCGGCTTGCCCAATCGTCTCAGCTCACTAACAATTAGTGCAGAAACTGGAGGCCTGTTCGCCCTACTCATCCGTCTCATGGTCGCGGAAAGCCCGCGGAATATGTAAGAAACCAACCCGCAGTCACCCACCAGCGACCACCCGAATACAGATGGCTAACAAGCAAAGCAGTGAGATCCCAGATTTCAAAAGCCTAGTCAGCCTGACAGGTCGATATTTCCAGATCCGGGACGACCTTGCCAACCTGACATCAGAAGAGTACACCAACCAAAAGGGATGGTGCGAGGACCTCGACGAGGGCAAATACTCGCTGCCGCTCATCCACGCCCTGAACAACCTGCCGAGGCCGGCCAAGGTACAGCTGCAGGCGCTCCTCGTGCAGCGGCGGACCGCGGGCGCCATGACCCCGGAGATGAAGGCCCTGGTGATCAAGCACATGAAGGACGCTGGGAGCTTGGATTATACCAAGACCATCGCCTTGGAACTGCAGGACGCGGTTCGACGGG